CAGGAGATGCTGTGGCACTGCCCTCCAGCCCAGCAGAGCCAGGAGATGCTGTGGCAGTGCCCTCCAGCCCAGCAGAGCCAGGAGATGCTGTGGCACTGCCCACCTGCCCAGCAGAGCCAGGAGATGCTGTGGCACTGCCCTGCTGCCCAGCAGAGCCCAGGAGCAGCGAGGGGAGGAGGATTTGGGGTCACAGCTCCTATTCCAAGGCCAGGATGGTGGCACAGGCTCAGGGCTCCCCAAGCCAGCTGTCCTTGCCCAGCCCAGCTCCAGGAGCAGAGGGAGGGTTGGTGCTGGCACCCACAGGAGCACGAGGAGCTCAGAAGATGACTCTGTCCTCCTGTGTCCTCTCCCACCACAGGCTGCTGTTCAGGGTGCCAAAGCTGCTGTCCTCCTCCTCCTGCTCCTTAGCCAGCTCCACAAACACCTGGAAAACACAGAGAAGGAATTTAATTTTCAGTTCGAAAACTGATAAATATTAGCTGTTATTAACTTTAAGTTAGGTATCTAATTAATCTATTAAATAATTAACAAAAAGGTAAAGATACAGCCAAGAGGATCCCATGCTCCTTGTAGGAACTTCCTTGGTCACAAATACAACTCATGCTAAAATCCTGATGAGTACTCAACGTATTGCTTCATCTCTGAGTAAGACATTTTTAGTATTTTGAGGTTTTTCTCCTTACTCCTACCCCTCCTACCTCTTTTCTTCAATGAAAGGGAAGTTGAGCACTGAAGACATTAATTGTCAGCAATAATTAATCCACAATAAGCAATTACAAGTCTCAGCTTCACTCTCCTTCCAGCTACAAACAGCAAATGTCTGTTCTTGGAATAAATCAGAGCAGCTTTTCCACTAATACCACACATTTGCTGTCTTCCAGTCAATGCAGTTGGCATCTTATTTTTAGAGGGGGAAAACAGGAATAAAGAGGAGCAGGAGAGCTGGCAGATGTGATTCACTTTGCAAAAAGGGAATTCAGTTTCCCAAAAATGCCCCAACAGCAAAGCAGAGAGCAGAGCTTGGGGGATGAGCAGCCTGCACAGGGTCCATCCTTATGGGATCTTGGAATGCTTTGGGTTGGAAGGCACCTTAAAGATCATCTCATCCCATTTCTATCACAGGCAGGGACACCTTGCACTGTCCCAGGGTGCTCCAAGCACTTTCAACCTGGCCTTGGACACATCCAGGGGCAGCCACAGCTTCTCTGGGAATTCCATCCCAGCTCCTCCCCACCCTTACAGGGAGGAATTCCTTCCAAATATCCCATCCACACCTTCACCTGGCAGGGTTTGCACTCAAAAACCACGGTTTAAACTCACAAACCAGAACCGAACACACCTGTTCCAGTGTTGCTTGGGAAAAGCTGTAGTCCTCGATGTTGAAGGCGTGTTTTACTGGGGAAAGAATCAATAAGAGCAGATTTAGGGACTCTTCACTTGCTCTTGATTTCCCAAGAAACAGAGTTGGGGACAAACACCAATAAAGGAAAATTAAGTTCAATAAATCTGGGACAGAAATGGAGGAGTGACATCACATGGCAGAAGTGATGGGAGACAAAAGGATTTGTGTGTGTGATGTATGGCAGGCGCTTCATTACCTTCCTCCAGCTTGGAAAAACAATGTGAAAGTGACTGTACATCTTCTTTGGGAATTTTATACGCCAAGATGGAAGCAAAACTGGAACAAAGAAGGGAAAAAAAATTAGCTTCAAGCAAAATCCCTCCAAGTACAAATATTAATACTCCATGGAATGGATTTGAACTCCTTTCCTGAAGGTTACTGCAGGGATTCTGACTGCCACTATCACACAGGAGAAGGGCAGTGATGCAGCTCCAGATGGATTGTATTTGCAGAGGATTGTATTTGCAGGGATCCCTGTGGCAGGGAGGAATGATAAATCTGACTCCATGTGCTCAGAAGGCTAATTTATTACTTAATTGTACTATATTGTATTAAAGAATACTATACTAAACTACACTAAAGAATACAGAAAGTATACAGACAGAATGCTAAAAAGGTAATAACGAAAACTCCTGACTCTCTGCAGTGTCCTGACACAGCTTGGCCCTGATTGGCCAAAGAGTGAAAACAACTCACAGCAGAATCCAACAAAATAATCACCTGTGGGTAAACAATCTCCAACCACATTCCAAAGCAGCAAAACACAGGAGAAGCAAATGAGATAAGAATTGTTTTCCTTTTTCTCTGAGGCTTCTCAGCTTCCCAGGAGAAAAACCCTGGCTGAAGGGATTTTTCCAGAGAATGTGAATGGCACAGCTGAGACTACCCAAGACTGTTCTAAGTTCATGCTCCTCTACTTAGATTCCATCTTTTCTGCTCTGCTTACTCATGGCAGGTTTGCTTCCTGGAGCTCCCAGAGCCCCGAGGGTTTGGATTTCAGCAGAGCTGGGAACATCCTGGAAGTTTGCATCACACAGCAGTTCCTGCAACCCCAGTGCAGCCCAGGAAGCTGCTCTGCCCTGCACAGGGAACTCTCCCATCTCCCAGTTTGAGGAAGGATCTCAAGCCCAATCCCCCAAGGATCACACTGCTCTGGATGCCTGCAGTGCCCTTGCTGGAGTCTCTGCAGTCACTGAGCCAAACTGAGAGCTGCTGGCGGGACAGCAGCCAGCCCACCCTGCAGCTGAGACCCCCAGAGACCTCAGGCATTTCCAGGTGAGGGCAGAGAGTCAGGAACTCGGGTTTCAGCCCTTTCCCAGGGGCCCTGACTCAGGAGGAAGCTGTCAGGCAACAGCAATGCAGAAATCCAGTTTTGCTTCCTCTGTGCCAAACATCTGTGTGGGCTCCGGGCCCCCGCCCTGCCAGCCCGGGCTCTGCTGCCTTCCACATCCCTTCCTTTTTTTATTCTTCATTTTTTTTAAAAGCTGTGTGTAAATATTTACATTCCTTCCCCGGTGCCAAGGAGCTGCTGTGCAATCACAGGGTTTGATCAATTGGATTAATATCAATATTTTCTGTGTGTCTGTCAAACCTCACCTCTCCTGGCGGTTGGCGTTGGGGAAGATGTGCAGAATCTGGCTCTGCAGATACTCCACCTGCTGCACATCTGCTGTTTCCCTTAATTTCATTTCCAAGAAGTATCCTCTGCCAAATTTGCTCTTCAGGTGTTGGACAGTACCTATACACCTATAAATTACAGACAGAAAACACAAGAACAGCCTAAGCTCACACAGATCCTTGTTGCTGGGAAGGATTCATTTAAGGTACCAAATTCAAGGTACCAAATTTATCTGTATTTTCAGAGGAATGTATCAGCACAGCTGCCTGTGCTGATATATTCAGGGGGGATCTGGGGTACCTGAGCTGCCCTGACACCAGGATGGCCACACGGTCACAGACAGCATCTGCCTCCTCCATGTAGTGCGTGGTCAGGATTGCTGCTCTCTCCTTGTTCTTAAAGGCTGCTCGGATTGCCCTCCTGCAAAACACAACCCAAAGCACCCCTGGGCAAAAACATCTGCCAGGGAACAGCAAATCCTGCCTCAGCTATCCTCATAATCCTCTGTTTATGGATTAATGCTACTCCCACAGCAACACCTGAGTTTCCTAAAGACAGCTCAAATCTGCATTCCTGATATTATTGTAAGGATTTCTTTCAACCTTCAAGCCTGTGATTCCCAAGTTGCTCTGGCACACAGGTTGGGCTGGTGCTCCCCTTCTTGTGAGACCCCACCTGCACAGGAGGAACGGCTGGAGAGGGTCCAGAGGAGGCCATGGAGATGCTCCAAGAGCTGGAGCACTTCTGCTATGGACACAGGCTGAGTGCTGGGGGTGTTCATCCAAACAGGAGCTCTGGGGAGAGCTCAGAGACCCTCCCAGGGCCTAAAGGGGCTCCAGGAGAGCTGGGGGGACAAGGGATGGAGGGACAGGACACAGGGAATGGCTTCCCCCTGCAAAAGGGCAGGGCTGGATGGGATATTAAGCAGAAATTATTCTGCTTCAGTTGAAGATATCCCTGCCCACGGCAGGGATATAAACCCAATCATGTGCATGGTCCCTTCCAGCCCAGCCCAGTGAGTTATTCCCTGTCTGTGGCTCCCAGGCAGGGATGGACAACTGTCCCCAGAGCAGGCTGGTGCCCTGGGGCCACAGCACTCACCACATGTGTTGCTTGGCTTTGGGGTTAGATGGGATATTAAGCAGAAATTGTTCTGCGTTAGTGGAAGATATCCCTGCCGTGGGCAGGGATATGAACCCCATCATCTTCATGGTCCCTTCCAGCCCAGCCCAGTGAGTTATTCCCTGTCTGTGGCTCCCAGGGAGGGATGGAAACTGTCCCCAGATCAGGCTGGTGCCCTGGGGCCACAGCACTCACCACATGTGCTGCTTGGCTTTGGGGTTAGATGGGATATTAAGCAGAAATTGTTCTGCGTTAGTGGAAGATATCCCTGCCGTGGGCAGGGATATGAACCCCATCATCTTCATGGACCCTTCCAGCCCATCCCAGTGAGTTATTCCCTGTCTGTGGCTCCCAGGGAGGGATGGAAACTGTCCCCAGAGCAGGCTGGTGCCCTGGGGCCACAGCACTCACCACATGTGCTGCTTGGCCTTGGGGTCCATCCCCGTGGAGGGCTCGTCCAGCAGCGTCACCCGCGGGTTGCCCAGCATGCTGAGGGCAAAGCAGAGCTGGGGGGAGGCAGAGGGGCAGGGTGAGCACAGGGAGGTGCTGGGGACCCCCAGGGGAGCCCAGAGCCCCCCTCACCTTGCGTTTCAGCCCCATGCCCAACTTCTTTGTGGTCTTCTGCAGGTGGTCCTTCAGATCCAGCACGCTGGCGATGCTAGTGAGGGAAGGATCAGTGGGAAAGGTTGGGAGGGGAGGGTTTGGCTTCCCCTCACCAGAGAATGCAAAACAGCTCCTTTGGAAGAGCTCAGTTATAAATATTTGTGTCTCAAGTATAAAAAAAGCAGAGCAAAAAGCAGAATTGGAGCTTCCATACAAAGCCACCTGTCCTGGAGGAGCTTTGGTGACAACAGAAACAGCTCCAAGCTCAGGGCTCCCCATCCTTGCAGCTTCTACAAAGGTCACTATTAGTATTTTATAACCTTAAAAAATAGTTATCAAATAATAATAATTATAGTGAAATTTATTCAATTATAATGATTATTTATAATAATAAAATTATTGTTCATAACAATAAACTTATAATTTATTATAATAAAAGTCTATTTATTATTAATTATAATAAATTATTATTCATTATTTATAATTATAAATTATTATTCATTATTTATATTATAAGTATAATTATATATCTAATAATGATAATTATAATTATTATAACTATAATTCTAATATAATTATCAATAATATATCAAATTTAAAAATCCCAACTGAATTTTGTCTGGATGAACCTTCATCTCCTCATCTACGAATTCACAACTGCTGAATTTCAACCAGCTTAAAACCAAACTTTAATGGAAACAAAAACTGCATGGAAAAAGGTGAGAAGAGGAGAAAACACACTAAAAAAAAAAGCCAAAACCACTCCAGCAATAAGGCTGAAGATAAAAAAAAAGCTAAAGCAGCTTTAGCTCAAGCACAAAGATTTCTGTAATTAACAACTCACCGTTTGATGACCTCTTTAACATCAGCCTGGCTCATGCCTTTGATGGCACCGTAAATCTCAAAGTGCTCCTGCAGTGTGATATCTGGCCACAGAGGATTTGTCTGGGGACAGTACCCCACGAACTTCACAGAGTCATCCTCACTGCTCAGCCCCAAGGAATCATCTCCCATCAGCACCTGTGAGGAAAATGCCCAATATTACACATTTCCAAACTCCTTTTGCATGGTTTTAGCAGAAAACATTTGCATGGTTTTAGCAAAATGGCCTCAGGAGTGCTTGCAATACTAACAATAAACTGGAAATGTGGGTTGATTTTTTGTGTAACTGTGGCATGGAACATACCTGCCCACTGGTTGGCTCAATCTCTCCAACAAGCATATTAATTAATGTGCTTTTCCCAGCTCCATTGGGTCCCAACAAACCCAGGATTTCTCCTGAAAAGGGACAACACAAACATTGCCCACGAGATCAGATCAATGGCTCCAAGAGTTGTTTTTATAAATCAAACCGCTCAACAGCAAAGCAACTGAACTCCAACCTTTCTTCACACAGAGGGAAACATGTTTGGTTGCCACTTTCTTTATTTTTCTCCCCAGAAGAAATTCCTTCCTCTCATCAAACTCTTTGTGCAGGCTGCTGACCAGGATTGCTGGCATCTGGCAGGGAAGAGGGAGGTGGCTGCAGATCCCAGCAGCTCTGGGGAGCCCCAAAAAAGTGGGAATTTGGGTTTTACCTCCTCACTCCTGGGGCTGCTCAGGATCTCTTTGACTCTCAGCCTCTCTGCCTTCACATCCTCATCCTCATTCTCCTCGTGAGGCACATCTGGGAACTTCCAGGGCTTGGCTTTGGTGAAACATTTCCTAAAAGGGAGGAAGGCAGCACGAGGCTGAGGCTGGCTCAGGGCTTGGGTGCCGTGTCCTGGTTTGATAGAAGGGAGTTTTCTGGGATGCATGATATGGTACAAGAGGGACTCCTCTGTTCTTGATGAGCTGAGATTACCCTGAATCACCCTCGATTATCTGAAGGGTGGTGATGGACTGAGAGTTGGTGATCTGAGGGCTGGGAACTGAATTGGAATTGAGAACCCAAGGTTTTGTCTTACTGTGACGTATCGGGAATTTGGTGTGGGGAGGAGGAATGTTTTTGGAAGGTTTTAATTCTGAGTTCTGTGTGTGTTTCTTTTAAAATACAGTTGCAGGTTAATAAAGTTTTTTTCCCTTTATTCCAAGTCTGATATTTATTCCTAATCTGGAGCCTGCTTTGCTGTATTTCTGCTCACATCTCACAGCAGACACCAGGGAGAATATATTCTCATGGGGGCACTGGCAATGCACCAGCATCAAACCATGACATGCTCAAAGGCATCTGCACATTCCTGCAGCTCATCCCAGAGCAGGAGGAGCTCAGGGACTGCCACTGTGTCACCTCCCTGCTGAGCTCTCTGTCCATGGAAATTCCCTTGGTTCTACATAAGGAACAACCTTACAAATTCCTGATTTTGCAGAGGAAATAAGGTCGCAGACAATTTTTATGGAAAATCCTTTCCTTAGGGTTTTTCCTCCTGAGAAGCTGAGAGGCTTCAGGAACAAAATGTAAACAATGATTATCTGCTGCTGTGGAATGCAACAGGTGCATCTGTGATTGGCCCATGTTGGATGTTTGTAACTAATGGCCAATCACAGTCAGCTGGCTCGGACAGAGAGCCTGAGCTACATTTGTTATCATTCTCTGCTATTCTATTCTTGCTAGCCTTCTAATGAAATCCTTTCTTCTATTTCTTTAATATGGTTTTAATGCAATATATATCATAAAATAATAAATCAAGCCTTCTGAAACATGGAGTCAGATCCTCATCTCTTCCCTCATCCTCAGACCCCTGTGAACATCATCACAATAACCCCCCCATTTCTGCACTTCAGTGATAATCAAAGAGATTTCATTTCTCCCCAGTTTAACCAGCACCAGCACCTTCAAAGCCAGTTCTTTGGACAGTATTTTGGATAAAACCCATTCAGGAGACTCACCTGAAGAAGGGATCTTCTCTGACCGTCCTCCCGCCGTTCTTGAGCTCGAAGCAGCGCAGCAGGAACAGCCACAGCACACACTGCAGGTAGGGCTGGGCAGACACAAACCACCCTGCTCACCAGGCTGGGAACCCTGGGTGACCCCCCCACAGCGATGAGGGACAAGAAGCTCCAGCCCTGCACCACCACACAAGTGCTGGTGCTGCCAAGAATATTAAATACATCATTACATGCTGCTCAGCAGGTCTGAGGATGCATAACCAAAGTGGGTTTAGATTTAAAAGCCATTAGTTGGGGTTTTTGTGCAGAGAGGGGACTGTTCTTGCTCTGGAGCTCTTGCTCCATCATCAGGGATCCCCATAATAATCACAATTAACACTGGCAGTGTTAATCATGCCATGGGGGCAGCAGATGTTGAGCTGGTGGGCACAGCAGCTCTCCTGGCTCAGCATCAGAGCAAAGCTTTACTGATAAAGATGATGGGCAGCAGGGGATCCCAGCAGGAAGCACAATTCCCTGCAGAAAACTGGGAATTTTCCCTCTATGAAACCAGAGAATGCAATGCCATGCTCACAGCCAGAACTGCCACCAGCAGCCGGTCCCAGGGGTCGTGGAATCCCCCACTCTCACTCTTGCCTTTCCATGAGACCTGGCAATTCAGGGAGAGGCATGGTCAGGTAAAGAATCCCCTACACAGACTCCATTTCCTCCACTTTCATCTCATTCAGGTGCTCCAGCACTTCCTGAGCTCTGCAGTGACTCTCCCAAAAATAAAATCCAACAGCTCCATCCAAAGCTGGGGCTGCTCCTGCTTTCAAACCACCCATTCCCAATGAACCCTCACCCATCCCCTGGGTTTGCTCACCTGGTTTTCCTGGAACATCTCAGAATCATGGAATAGTTTGGGACCTCAAAACCCCTCTCATTTTATCCCCTGTTGCTCCAAACCCTGTCCAGCCTGGCTTTGGACATTCCAGGGATCCAGGGGCACCTGTGCCAGGGCCTGCCCACCCTCACAGGGAGGAATTTCTTCCCAAAATCCCATTTAACCCTGCTCTGTGTCAGCTTGGAGCCATTCCCCCTTGTCCTGTTTCAAGTCCCTCTCCATCTTTCCTGTAGCCTCCCTCCTCTTAGAGAAAGGAAATTTCATGGAAAACTTGCTGCTCTCCCCATTTTATAACCAAACCACTTTGCTTTATAGGAAAAAGGTGATTTTTCTCCTTAGGTGGCTACAGAGGACACACCAAAGGCAGCCACCCAACCCAGCCACCTCCCAGGGCTGTGGAAAGGATCCCTGAAATCCCCTTACCTTTATAAAACAAATCAGGCAGCCAATGAGGGGATAAATAGGGATGAAGATGGAGAAGACATAGTGCAGGATGGTGGTCACCAGGTAATGGTCCAGGAAAAAGGACACCTCAGTGACCACTGTGCACAGCAGGGCTGTCTATACCAAAGAAAAGGGGAATAAATGTCAATTTTCATCCACTTGAGACACTCGAATCATAAATTAATTAATTTTTTCTTAAAGCTTTTATCACTCAGCATACAGCAGTGAGTGAGATATTGGTAAAAATTTCCCATTTCTTGTGCAATAGGGACCCACAGATCAACAAAACAACTGGGATTTTTTGCTGTGGCTTTGGAAATCACCAATCTTCCCACTCAGCCCAGCTGCAGGCCAGGGCACTCACCACTGAAAATATAAATGACCAAAATTCCTTCGTGTTCTGGACTTTTCTGAAGGTGAAGGAGACCACGTAGGTGAAGAGCACGACGGAGGGGACGTAACCAATCAGGCAAAAAATCTGCAGAGACAGGAGAGGATTCTCAGGGAATGCAGCAGGAATTTTTATGCATAAAGAATTACCTCAGTGTGCTACAGAACTCTGGATTCATCTTTGTCACTTTATTTGATGTATTTTGCTGCTTTGTTGCATAGAGAATGTATTATTAAAGACACACATTAAATCATGTGTGGAGAGGTAAAAAGTCCCCCCTCCTCAGCTTCCTTTAAACTCCTTCCCATTTTTTTTTGTTATTTTTTTTTGTAACAGAGGCTCCCATAAATGCTAACCTCAAGATTCTGGCAAACGTTAAGAATTCCACCATGGCATTTTTGTAGAAATTCAAACAAGGGTAGGGCAGCAGCCCTGCAGCCACATCCCAAACCTGATTAACTCTGGCAAAGCAGCTGGGAGAAGCTGATTCCTCTCAATTCCTGCCAGGATCACAGGGAATCCTGCTCTGAATATCAAAGCCATGCAGCCTGGTGCTGTCCTGCACTTAATCCCATCTGCAGTTCCCTGCAGAGATGGGCTCTGCCCAAAGTCACTGTGCCCTTGCCATCAGCAGCAGCAGTCACCAGTCACACACAGAGCACAGACAGGCTCAGGCAGCACAAAAAAGGAGAATTTCCTTGGAAATCCTGGTGGTTTAACAATCTGCAAGGCTGGAGAAGAGCTTTGAGATGTGAGTCCAGCCTGTGACCAGGGACAGAGACTCCAGCACCTCCCTGGGCAGCTGCTGGGTCAGAGATGGCACAGAGCTGGATCAGGAGGTAAAGTGGTAAAAATTCTGTTTATTTCATCCTCTCTCCCAGGTGGACTTGACTGGTCATTTAATTAATACATTTCACTTGATGGGTTAATTAACAAGGCACCCATTTGTAAACAAGGCACCCATTTGTAAAGAATCTTACGAGAAAAAACAGATTATTAGAAAAACACTTATGAGGAAAAACAGATTATTAGAAAAACACTCCCTGTAGGTTGTTTTTAACATTTGGTTATCATTGTTTATCTTCAGCTCTTTAAAGCTTCTCAGGTCAATTCTGGGAAAACTTATTTAGCTTTCTTTCTCTCTGCCCAGGCCGTCACATCCACAGGCAGCCCCATCCCAATCCCATCTCCATCCCTCAATTTAACCCTGATCAGCCCAACCCAGATATTTAAAGCTGACACAGCAGAAATAAAAGACCATTTCCTTGGAAAACCCTGGTGGTTTAAATCCCCTTCCACTCCCAACCAATCTTGCTGTGAAGAAATCCTTCCTGTGTCCAACCCAAACCTCCTCTGCTTGATTTTATTCCAGTCCTGAATGAAACTCCCAAACTGGAGCCATTTTCCCCATGAAAAACTTTCTGGTTTTGTTCCAGGAGCGTTTTCCCTGTGTATCCAGGGTGAAATTCAGCTGAATCAGGTAAGGAAAATAAAAAAGACTTAGAAAAATAGAAAATAAGCCCAGCCCAGACTCACCACAGCCAGGAACTTGCCCACATAGAAATAAACACCGTAGTGGAAGGCAAAGAGGCTGCCAATCATGAGGATGAGGATGAGGAAGAACAGAGGCAGGTCCACCACAGCCTGGCCAGTCCAGTAGGCTGAGGGATAGAGCCCTGCAATCTTCAGCTGGGTGTAAGCCTTGATCTGCAGCAGGAGAAGAACAGAGAATTAAATAAAATGAACATTTTGTGAATCCCCTCCTGTGTTATGCTGCTATTGCCAAGCTTGGCTTGGCACAGAAAAGTTTCTCCCAAATCTGCTCCACCCTTGGCATTGCTTAAACCCCTCTTTGGCTCTTTGCAAAGAGGAAATCCCAGGATTTTGAGCTCCCTATGTGAACACCTGGGGGTTACCTTGTGGTTTTCTGCATTGTCCATGGCGAAGTAGGGTGGCATCCCAGTGATGATGATCCCCAGTAACACGGCTTCAAAATAGATCTCCAGCCTGAAAATTGTGTCTGGAAGGTCCTGGGGTAGAAATCAGATTTATTCAATGCCAAAATGAGACCAAAAAAAAGGTTAATTAGGAGTTGGAACATGGCTGTGAATGGTAAAATGAAAAGTGTGTGGGTGTCAAGATCACCTGAGCCGCAGGAAGAAGAACACCTGTGGAAGTTTTGGGAGTATTTAGACAAGGAATAAATGTTAAATAAAGAACTTTTCAGAGCCTTTATCTCCTGCAGCAGGTCCTCTCCTCTCCCAAGGCCCCCCCAGCTCTGCAGGCAACCTCCACCAAACCCACAATTAATGAATTCACAGGGCCAATGGAATGCTTTGGGTTGGAAAGAACCACGGGGATCATCTCATCCCAAACCCCAAATCCTTCCACCAGCCTGGGTTCTCCAATCCCCACAGAACCTTTAATTCCTGACACATCATCCTCTTTCCAAGCCCCTTTTTCCTCCCTTTCCACAACCTGCAAAGTGCCAGAACCTTCCACACCTTCCTAACCCCTGCAGACAGCCCCAAACCGCTTTCCCTTGGTTTGTGGGGAGCTCCTGTGGAGCTCCAGGACACAAAATAAATGTGTCCTATAAGTTATATAACAAAATAATAGCTGGACTTTCCAAGGTAACAAAGAGAGTGTTTAATTTCTAAACTCCAACATTTCTAGATTTCTAAAAGTGCCAGTGGATTGGAAAATGACAGTGCCACCTCTCCAATGACACCGAACAAACCAACAGTTCATCAAATTCTAGAAAAGAATACAAACCAATAGGTTATTTACATAAAATGTGTGAGAAAGTTCGTTACAAGAACGGAAACATCAAAAAACTTTAAAAAACCTTAAAAAAAAACCCCAAAACCAACATTCCTGCCCTCCCCCTGTCCCCCAGGGATGCCGTGCCCTCTCCCAGGGTGGGTTTTTGGGAGCTGCTGACCTGAATGAAGGGGTTGCTCCAGATCTGGATGCTCTCAGTCACGTTCAGGCTGCGCAGGAGGAGGTTGCTGACAATGTTCATCAGAACTGGCAGGGAATGCACCATGGTGCTGTTGAATATGATGTTGAAAACATAATTCTAGGGAGAAAAAAATATGTGCTGCATTAATCCCTCTGCCCTGAGAGGGCTCTACTTAATAAAAACTGAACGTTGGGATAAATCTTTGCATAATCAAGAGCTTTGCAGGAGGCTCTGGGCTGCTCTGGGTGCTTGGCACACACAGCCTAATGCAGGAAATCGGGAATAAATTCCTAATTCAGGAAATCGGGAATAAATTCCTAATGCAGGAAATCAGGAATAAATTCCTAATGCAGGAAATCGGGAATAAATTCCTAATTCAGGAAATCGGGAATAAATTCCCAGCATGTTTCAGGAGCAGTGAGGCTCTGACAAATGGCACTCCAGACAATTCCAGCCTGGGAAACAGAACACAGGAGGAGCTGCTCTGGGCTGATCCTGCTCGTGGGTTTAAAACCAGAGAAGCAAAACTGTGCAGGAGCTGCACTGTCACACTGCTGGCAGCAGTGTCACAGAGTGGAAATGGGGACAAGAGCCAGAGCTGGCTCATTGTAAAGCAGCTCCTTGCTGGGGATTAAATATGATCCCCAAGTTCAGATCTCCCTGTTACTGTGAACACGTACAGCCCAATAAACTGATTTTTCTTTACACACGAGAGCACCATGGGATTGTATTTCTGTCAAACTGTAATTCAGTCAGTACAAATTAAAAAAAATCATAAAACATTCCTCTGCCAGGTGTCCTATGAAGTAGAATATTTCTCCTGACTTTCTGTGTCCTTGTGGGGAAGAAAAAGGGATTGAAATTTGATTGGCATACTGTAATTGTAATTATAATTATATAACTATAATTATGGAAGAACATTTATTTTGCTAATATTCTCACTCTCTCGTCTTTGCAGCCTCTTGTATAAGCAATATTATATGATTCCATAAATGATATTATATTCATTATATAAATTATATTATATTATAATTATATATTATTATATAATAATATAATATAATATAATATAATATAATATAATATAATATAATATAATATAATATAATATAATATAATTATATGATCCCAAATCAACATTATCTGACTCCACGACTCCAGAGCTGCTTTTCAGGTGAGGATTTCCCACAGCAGCCCCAGGAGCTGCTCCCTGGGCACAGCCCAGCCAGTGTGTGCCTTACCTGCCTGGACTGGAGGGCAAACACGTTCAGAGCTGCACTGTGAGGTGCCACTGAGACATAATCACTGTCATTGAACATCTCCCAGAGGATGTTCATGCTCCCCAGGGAGTGCACAATGTCACTGATATCCGACTCTGGGGACACAAAACAGCAGGGAATCATTTAAACTGGAACAGAACTTCAGGATCATCAAACCATCAAATCCCGTTTTCCCTGGTGAGGGCACACCCTGAGTGCTGTGTCCTGTTCTGTCCTCCCCAGTTTAGGAGGGACATTGA